TGAGCCCTTGATAGTTTATAAATTGTTATTTTGTCATATCTTGCCCTGTCCAACGGTCTCCCTTTACCCACTTTTCGGTTGTCTGACCCCCAGGGAGGAGGTCACATACAGTTCCTTGTAATTGGTTCCCTCCCACTGTAGTTTTAAGAAAAGAACCTTTGGTGGTGGTTGTGTAAGTTGAGCTAGTCCTGATAAAGGTGCTGTTTGGTTACTGAATTGGAAAAGGTTAGCATTCAGTCCGTGTTCAGTGCTGTTCTGAAAACTCGTGGGTCACCATGTGGGTCCTCAGCTGACCAGCTAATGAGAGTGTGCTGATAGCAAGTAAAGGAAAAGGTGCAGCTGCCATTGGAGATTGTTCTTTTGAGGATTTGTGATTGTGGCAAAGGTTAAGGCAGACCTTGAGAGACCTGCTGAAATCTTTAGTAAAGTAAAAGGTGTTCTGTTGTAACTATCGCGTTGTCAAGCACTTTTAAAAATTGGATTGAGTTTCTGTTTTCACTTTAGAGTCTGAATCCGTTTTTGTAAACTTGATCTTTTAGACATACTCGCTTACCAGGAACTGTTTGTAGGAATTAGGTGGTACAACTTTCTTTTGAGGCAGATGTTTTCTTCACGAACCTGAACAAAAAAGGAAAACCACACCTTGGTGGGCATTGAACAGACTATTGGAATCCGATCCACTTTTCCATATAACCCACAGCTGAAAACTACAGAAATATTGGCATAGCCCCATCTTCCGAGTCCCTGGACATTTTTATCCTCAGTGCCTAGAGAGAAAATAACTATGCATTTCTATTTTATTTTGTTTTTTAAAAACCCACTCAGTAAATACCAAAGTATATCTTTAAAACAGTAGTTTTGAAAAAATACTCTAGAAAATGTGAAATCTATTAATTAATTCCACCAGCCCAAAATAGCTTCAGTGATTGTAGAATACATTTTAAAACATTTTTATTTTATACTGTAACCTACTTTTTTTCATGTGGAATGCAGCGAGCATTTCTATCTTTAAACCAGAGCTTTGCAACCGTTTTTTCATTATTATACCCGGAGAAACTTTTAAACAATCTTTTTCTTTTATTTTTAACAATCTTTTTCTTAAGCACTCCACTCAATTAAATTTTGGTAGCACTGTCTATCTTTTTTTCCTCTTTTAAATATACTGTATCCTTTAAAGTGTGTTATATCTAAAATTTCCCCAACCCCCTTAGAACTAATTCTCTGCCTCCTTGGGGTGATATCTTTAATCAATAATGTCTTCTAAGGTACCTTTGGCGAGTGCCTGTCTTACACATTTTTGAAGATGCAATTTTAAATGGCTCCAGGACACATTTCCATGTGGCTATATCATAACTTACAAGCTTACATGTTTGGGTTGTTGGGTTTTGTTGCTTATTTACCTTTTCTTTTCTAATATTATGATAAAAAATCATTATATGACTCTATTCAATTTTGTAAGGAGTCCTGGAAGTGCTATGGATTGGGCCTTAGGCTGCTAACCCCAAGGTCGGTGGTGTGAACCATGGACCAGCAGCTCTGAAGAAAGATGAGGCTGCCTTCTCCCTAAAATGTTGGCTGGTAAACCCTATGTAGCACCACTCTGGATCATAATCAGCTAGGTCACAATGTGTTTGGATTCAGTTTGGGGCTGATGTCAGTGTACACAAAGTTCTAGTAGCTTGTAATATCCTTATTCCTCAAATTTCCTTCCTAACATCTCCTCCATGAGAACCTGTACACAATCAAGAGGCAGTTGTGCACACAAAACAAGGGAATACTGCATGGTTTAAAATCAAGAAAGATGTGCATCAGGGTTGGGTCCTGTCACCATATTTATTCAATTTGTATGCCGAACAATCAGAGAAGCTGCTTTAAATGAAGAATTTGGCATCAGGATTAGAGGAAGGCCTAACCTTCAATATACAGATGACCCAACCTTGCTTATGAAAGTGAGGAGGACTTGGAGCACTTGCTGATGACGATCAACAACTGCAGTTTTCAGTATAGATGACGACTTAATGTAAAGAAGACCCAAATCGTCACAACTGGACCAATAGGTAACATGATAAACGGAAAAAAGATTGAAATTGTCAAGAATTTTTTTTTCCTTGAAGCCACAATCAATGCTCATAGAAGCAGCACTGAAGAAATCAAATAACACATTGCATTGGGTAAACCTGCTGAACAAGACCTCTTTAAAGCGACGAAGAGCAAGGATAGTATCTTGAGGGCTAAGGTGCACCTGACCCAAGCCATGGTGTTTTCAATCATGTGCATGTGAAAGACCAAAGAAGAATTGACGCATTTGAATTATGATGCTGGCAAAGACTATGGAAAGTACCTTGGACTACCAAAAGGATCAACAAATGTGTCTTGGAAGAAGTACTGCCAGAATGCTCCTTAGAGACAAGAATGGGGAGACTTTGCCTCAAGTACTTTAGACATGTTGTCAGGAGAGACCAGCCCCCGGGGACAGGACATTGTGCTTCATGAAGTAAAGGGCTGGCGAACAAGCGGAAGGCCCTCCACAAGATGGATTGACACAGTGGCTGCAACAAGGGGCTCAAATGTAACAATGTGAGGAAGGTGCAGGCCTGGGCGCTGTTCCATTCTGTTGTAGAGGGTCCCAGTGGGCCGGAACTGTGTCAGCAGCAGCGAACAACAGCCTTCTCCAAACAGTCATGTATTGTGTGTTTCTTCTGTGCTCCCCACTCTCACACTTAAGTCTTTGTAATCTTCAAGTCAGCATTGAGGAGGGGATGGTCCCTTAAGTTCTCATAGCCAGGCAGGGGAGGGAGGCAGGCTGACTTGCCTCCACAGTGCAAACTTGTAACCAATACAGTATACTGTGTATAAAGTAAACCGCGGAAGCAAAGACCTGCCTCCATTTGAATCAGTCCTCTTTTTAGAGATGGCCAGGGCAGTGCAAGGCCAAAGGGGTAGAAGACCACCAGCGTCGGAAGGTGGAAAAGGAGAACCCCTAATCTGCCTCTCTGACAACTGTGAGTTAACTTCACACTTTCCGGTGGATAGCTGGTGTGGAAAATGAGTGGTTTTTCCTATATACATCCGGTTATTGGATTGTCTGACTTTTTGTTCAGCCTGCCAGCTAGCCCTCCTCCATTTCTTTTTAGACGGACCATCATAGTTGCTGGGGAAACAGACTTTTCATGTTTAGGATGCCTTTGACTCTTCATTGGAAAAGATCCCATGAGGATCTATTATAGCTCCAGGAGTGTGTACCAAGTGTCGCAGGAGACTAAAAGGCACCAGTCCTAGCCACGCCCTAATGGAAGGGCTGACAAGCCCTGGCTGGTCCACTTACCAGATGCAGGGTCCTAACATATTTAGCTCATTACGATTTGGTTTTCTTTAAAAAACAAAACAACTGAACAAGGAGAGTAGAGTTGCCAGGAGGATTAGGGGAGGATGGGAAGAAAAAGGGAGAATTGATCCCAAGGATCAACCTAGACCCCCTCCCAGGGGGATGAATAATGGAAAAGTGGGTGAGGGGCATCGGAGGATGATGTAAGATGAAAATAATAACTATAACTTATTAAGGGTTTGTGAGGGAGGGCAGGTGGAGAAGGAGGGGAAGAAATGGGGAGCTGATAGCGGCCTTAAGTGGGAAGAGAATGCTTTGAAAATGATGATGGTGGCATATGTGCAAATGTGCTCGACACACTGAATTAATGTATGGATTGTGATAAGAGATATAAGAGCCCGGGAGGACATGGGAGAGGGGAAGGTGGGGGGGAAAGGTAGTGGTGTTAACAAACCCAGGGACAAGGGAACAACAAGTAATCCAAATCAGTGGTGAGGAGGGTGTAGGAGGCCTGGTAGGGTGTGATCAAGGTTAATGTAACTGAGAGGAATTACTGAAATCCAAATGAAGGCTGAGCATTATAGTGGGACAAAAGGAAAGTAAAACGAAATAGAGGAAAGAACTAGGAGGCAAAGGGCATTTATAGAGGTCTAAATGCAGGCATGTACATATGTAATTATATTTATATATCATGATGGTGAAATAGATTCATGTGCATATATTTATAGGTTTAGTATAAGGTAGCAGATGGACATTGGGCTTCCACTCAAGTACTCCCTCAATGCAAGAACACTTTGTGCTATTAAACTGGCATTCCATAATGCTCACCTTCCTGACACAATCACTGAAGACAAAGTGGGTGCATAAACAAATGTGGTGAAGAAAGCTGATGGTGCCCGGCTATCAAAAGATATAACGTCTGGGGTCTTAAAGGCTTGAAGGTAAATAAGCGGTCATCTAGCTGAGAAGCAACAAAGCCTACTTTGAAGAAGCACACCAGCCTGTGTGATCACAAGGTGTTGAAGGGATCAGGTATCAGGCATAAAAGAACAAAAAATCATATCACTGTAAATGATAGGGAGTGCAGAGTGGGGACCCAAAGCCCATTTGTAGGCAACTGGACATGCCCTTACAGAAGGGTTGTGGGGAGGAGTCGAGCCAGTCAGGGTGCAGTGAAGCAACGATGAAACATACAACTTTCCTCTAGTTCTTAAATGCTTCCTTCCTGCCCCCTCCCCCCCACTATCATGATCTCAATTCTACCTTACAAATCTGGCTAGACCAGAGGATGTACACTGGTACAGATAGGCACTGGAAACAGAGGGAATCCAGGACGGATGATCCCTTCAGGACCACTGGTGAGAGTGGGGATACTGAGAGGGTGGAGGGAGGGTGGGGTGAAAAGGGGGAACTGATTACAAGGATCTACATTTAACCTCCTCCCTGGGGGATGGACAACAGAAAAGTGGGTGAAGGGAGACATCAGACAGTGTAAGATATGACAAAATAATAATTTATAAATTATCAAGGGTTCATGAGGGAGTGGGGAGCTGGGAGGGAGGGAGGGAAATGAGGAGCTGATGCCAGGGTCTTAAGTGGAGAGCAAATGTTTTGAGAATGATGAGGGCAATGAATGTATAAATGTGCTTTACACAATTGAATGTATGGATTGTGCTAAGAGTTGTATGATCCCCCAAAATAAAAGGATTAAAAAAAGAGATGTAAGAACTCCCAATAAAAGTATTTAAAAAAACAAAACAAAAACAAATGAATAAAATCAATCCAATTCATAGTGACCCTGTAGGACAGGGTAGAATTGTCCCAAAGTATTTCCAAGGAAGTGGGCAGCCACATCTTTTCCCAGCGCGTTAGCTGGTGTGTTCCAATTGCTGACCTCTGGTTAACAACCAAGCACTTAAACCATTGCACCACCAGACCTCCAAGACTGGAGTGAATGTAGGTACTTATTTATCTCAGGATAGTAAAGATTCACTGAAACAATATAAAATAGTTTTGTTTTACATCTGTAGGAAACATTATAGGAGGCTTAGAATGATAGAACAAGGTTGAGAGAAGCGTGTATAGCCCAGTTTAATTGTAGCAGAAGGGTCATGTAAGAATACCAAGAGCTGAGACTGCTCCTGAAAATTTAGAAGCATGAGTGCCCTGTCTAACATACCCTACATGGCTGACCTTTCCTTAGTGGTAGTTCTCAAAAGGGAGTACAGGCAGCAACCAGCTTACTCAGGCAGGAACAGGCGCTGGTGTGCTCGCCAAAAGAATACATGTATGGCGATGCAGCTTTCCCACATAGTCATGAGTTATGTGTCCTGAGCCAATAGGAATTCAGCGAGGCCATATGGGGCTGAGAGAGCCTTATGGTAGTGCATGAGCATCTGTTTAAACTAGCATCAATCATGTGGTGCAGAAAGCAAGTCTGAACTGGCTTCATCAGAGTCTGTCTCCCGAGATTTATTGTGCTTCAGTAGTTTTCCATTAGCTTGTGAATATTTCCTGTTTCAGTTTTTAGGTTTTCTTGGATGGAATATACTCTAGACAGAGTTTAGAGAAAGCTTGCTATAGGAGAAGAATTACATTGAGAGTAAGACTTTGGTAAAATAAGAACAAGGCCATACCTCTTTTAAAGGCCAACAAATTCTAAGATATTCCATGAGCAATCTCTTCCTACGGCCAAGCCCAAATGTAAGCAATTCCCTTCAAACTGCACACGTTAAATTTGCCAGTTTTTTTTCCCCAACGACCTCTACCCATGGCCACGGGAAGATGTCGAGTATTAAAAAGGAACTGGCCTGTCCATCACTCCTTCTCCATAATAATGAGAAAGCTTTCTAGTTTATAGGAAAACACCATAGCTTTTACTTAGACTCACTACCCAACTCACTTTAAGGAAAAGCTCCGGTGGTGGGGGTTTCCATATGCTTGTCTAGCCCTCTTTGAGAGAATCCTCACCTGTTCCAGTTGCTGGGCTCCACAACCAAATGTGAAATGCAACTATTTTGGGAACACTTCAGCACGTCAGAAAACTGACCGATTCTATTCTGGCTCACAACAGAGTGTGGATGTACCCACGTGAGTTCATCCCAGAAAATTGTTTCTACTCGTCCCTTCTGCAGCAAGGTTAGAACTGTGCTCTTTGCTGGGCAAAAAAAAAAAAAAATACGATGAGGCAGCCACCAACCGGATAACCTGTGAACCCCCACACCACCTTACCATAAGCAGATCCTCCTAGGAAATTAAAAGGCATCTCCCCAATATATCAGTGGTATAAATAGAGCCGCTCCTCGGACGCTGGTGTATGGTGTCTCTCCAAAGGAGACAGGAAAGCAGTTTGGTCTGGCTGCGTTCTTATCCTCTAAATATAAAGATGAGTTGGGCCAGCCTCTGCGAAGGGAGACAAATACTGCACCCGTTAGAGTGCGGGCAACGTCCTTGTCCTTTGTACTGGGAGAAAGGACTAGAAAGGCCACACTCCCACACCCTTTCTCGCCTCTCTCCACCACCTGCAGGTCGAAGGGGTCTAGATTGGACCCTCAATCTCTTAGCCTCAGGGAAGTGAAGGCAGGGGGGAAGCCCGGTTCTGTCCACCCCAAACGCGGGGAGTACAGGAGAAAGTACGCACGTCCCCCATTTCGCCCCTTTTTAAATCGTTGGAATGTCCTGTCCGCTAACGGGGTGGACAGCTCTGCGGACCCTCGTTTTGGTGCCAATCACTGCCACTGCTGCCACCGCCACCTGAGCATGTCCCGAGGAGCTCCTGCCTGCTCCCCGCCGCCAGCTGTCAGTGGGACAGCTGCTCTCCCTGGCAGCTATTGCTATTGCCCTGTCTCCGAGGTGGGAGAGGGGTCTCCCCTCTGGATTTGGGGAGAGAGCGGGTGGAATTATCTGCGGAGTGCGGAGTGCTTCTTTCTATTCCGTGGGCGCTATTGGCAGTGACTACTTCATCCGTCCTCTGCCACCTCTTCCCAGGGGGTGAGGGGACTGGTGGTCTGAAGACAGGACCCAAGATAGGGTGAAATGTGGAGAAGGCAGCAAGGCCCCTCTGTGGACTCCCACCGTGAGCAAGAATGAGGAGTCCTTTCAGACAGGTGGAGCGCCCGGCCTCGGAGGCGCAGGCGCTGGTGACGTCCACTGGGCATTGGGTGACCCCCGGCCCACCCATCCCCTCTTGCGGGCGACCAGGCCTTGGCGGGCGGGGCGGCCCGGCCCAGAGCCGCTCCATATACGGCCCGGCCCGAGTTACCTGGGCGCCGGCCAGGCCGCTCCTTCTTTGGTCAGCGCCAGGGACCCGGGCGGGGACCCAGGCCGGGAGACAGCCGGGGGAGGGGGCTCTCGTGCCCAACACCCAAATATGGCTCGAGAAGGGGAGCGACATTCTTGCGGGCCAGCTGGCGGCGACAAACGGGGAGCGCCCGCGGGCTATATAAGACCTGCTGCGCAGGCCAGCCGGCCACCGCAGCCGACAGCACCGGGAGCAGCTTCGCCTCGCCTCCCCTCCCGCGGCGACCCAGGGCCCGAGCCAGAGAGCAGCCTTTGTAGCTACCGCCCAGGTAGGACCGGGATGGGGAGGGACGAGGACGAGCCCCCAGGGCTCCTCTGTGCCTGAGCCCCCCACCTAGTCCCCAGAGGTACCAGCGAACTAAGAGGAGCCAAGAGCCAATGGGTCTTTGGACACCTCTCCCAAAGTATCCCTAGCCCCTTTGGGCAGCTCTCCTTGGCTTTTGGGATGTGGCGAGGTAGATCAAGGTTTTGCATTGGTCCCTTGAGGGCAATTCCCACGCAGCGGAATACCAAAGCCAGAGGCCGCAGGGGTGGCTCTGCGAGGGCTCGCTGGGGGGTGTGGGGGTGGGAGGGTGGAAGGCCTCTCCACGTGGGAGGCAGTGTGGACGATCTTCACTGACCATCCCTCTGAGGATGAAGCCTGGGTGTCTTCTCGTCCTCTTCTTCCATCACATTCCCCCAGGGGGGGCAGGAGGGCAGCCCCTAAACACGGCCCTCCTTGACAATCAAGACCCAGAAAGGTGGGGCGGCAGAAGCAGGCTTTCTTAGTGTGTGGTGTGCGGGGAACGCAGAGAGGTCTCCTGGTAATTTCCCTCTTGGGTACCCGAGGTGGATGGATGACGAATGCCTCCCCGCTTCCCCCTCCTCCCCCAGGCCCACAGCCTCTGGGGCCTCTCTCCACCCTGAGTCCCCAGGGTGGGCTGGGGATGTAGGTCCCTAGGTCCTGGGTAGGAAGGGCGTTCGGCCTGGCAGCGGTTAGTCTCCGGTGCCAAGTCTCCAGCGCTAACTCGCCGCTGTGTGTCCCCACGGGGCCTCTCTGTCCTTGCAGAAACCAGACACCATGTGCGACGAAGACGAGACCACCGCGCTCGTGTGCGACAATGGCTCTGGCTTGGTGAAAGCTGGCTTTGCCGGCGATGACGCCCCTAGGGCTGTGTTCCCGTCCATCGTGGGCCGCCCTCGCCATCAGGTCAGCCACCCCGTGCAGAGCGCTGGAGTGCTGCCCCGCGCGCCACCACGGCGCTGCCCACGGCGGTAACGCGCGGGGTCTGTCCGTTCCGCAGGGCGTCATGGTGGGTATGGGCCAGAAAGACTCCTACGTGGGCGACGAGGCGCAGAGCAAGCGTGGTATCCTGACCCTCAAGTACCCCATTGAGCACGGCATCATCACCAACTGGGACGACATGGAGAAGATCTGGCACCACACCTTCTACAACGAGCTCCGCGTGGCCCCCGAGGAGCACCCCACCCTGCTCACCGAGGCCCCGCTCAACCCCAAGGCCAACCGCGAGAAGATGACCCAGATCATGTTCGAGACCTTCAACGTCCCCGCCATGTACGTGGCCATCCAGGCTGTGCTGTCCCTCTACGCCTCGGGCAGGACCACCGGTGAGTGCCAGGCGCCCCTCTCCCGCAGCTCCCCCAGCTCCCCCAGTGCGGGGCACCTCGTGTGCTGGAGGTGCTCCAGTGGGAATATCCCCCGAATCCCAGCGTCCTCCTGTGGCCACCTAGGCCCAGCTCACCTGCCGCTTGTCCCCGCTCCCGCCACCTCGCGCAGGCATCGTGCTCGACTCCGGCGACGGTGTCACCCACAACGTCCCCATCTATGAGGGCTACGCCCTGCCGCACGCCATCATGCGCTTGGATCTGGCCGGGCGCGACCTCACGGACTACCTGATGAAGATCCTCACCGAGCGTGGCTACTCCTTCGTGACCACAGGTACGCCCCCCAGGCCCCGCCGAGGGGTGGGTGGGTGCTGGGAGGCGTCTCCCTAGGGCGCAGGGCTCACCGTCGCCCCCGCCCCTACAGCTGAGCGCGAGATCGTGCGCGACATCAAGGAGAAGCTGTGCTACGTGGCCCTGGACTTCGAGAACGAGATGGCGACCGCCGCCTCCTCCTCCTCCCTGGAAAAGAGCTACGAGCTGCCCGACGGGCAGGTCATCACCATTGGCAACGAGCGCTTCCGCTGCCCGGAGACGCTCTTCCAGCCCTCCTTCATAGGTAAGCGCTTCCCGCGGGGCCACCCCTAGGGCCCGGGCGCCCCCGCCGTGGCCCGCGGCCTCACGCACCACCCGCCGCCCCGCAGGCATGGAGTCGGCCGGCATCCATGAGACCACCTACAACAGCATCATGAAGTGCGACATCGACATCAGGAAGGACCTGTACGCGAACAACGTCATGTCTGGGGGCACCACCATGTACCCAGGGATAGCTGACCGCATGCAGAAGGAGATCACCGCGCTGGCGCCCAGCACCATGAAGATCAAGGTGGGCTGTGCCCTCCGCGCCTCCGCGAGTCTCCTCGGGGTCTCTGGCTTTAGCTGCGCCTCACGGTGCGTCCCGCTCTTGTCTTGTAGATCATCGCCCCGCCAGAGCGCAAGTACTCCGTGTGGATCGGCGGCTCCATCCTGGCCTCACTGTCCACCTTCCAGCAGATGTGGATCACCAAGCAGGAGTACGACGAGGCCGGCCCCTCCATCGTCCACCGCAAATGCTTCTAAACAGTCACACCTCCCACGTGCAAATTCTTCTCAGGATGACAAATCTAAAGTTTCTGGCGGCTGAACGAGCTGCAGTCTAATGCTTTATTCTCCCAACCACTTCCGTTACTCGTGCTGCAAACTGACACAGTGTTTATAAAGTGTACATACATTAATTTATTTTACCTCATTTTGTTATTTTTAAAACAAAGCCCTGTGGAAGGAAATGGAAAACTTGAAGCATTAAACTCAGTCATTCTGTTATTCAGCGTGAGGCTGTTTTGTGGTGTTGATACACGGGATGGGGGTGGTGGGTGGTGGGGAGGGGGAGGCTGGAAGGGGGAGGATGAAAAAGAGGGACAATTTTTAAAAAATCATTTTATTGGGGGCTCATACAACCTTTTTTAAAAAAATCATTTTATTAGGGGCTCAGACAACGCATCACAATCCATATATACATCAATTGTGTAAAGCACATTTGTACATTCGTTGCCCTCATCATTCTCAAAAAATTTTGAGAATGTTTCTCCACTTAAGCTCCTGACATCAGCTCCTCATTTTTCCCCTCCCTCCCCGCCTCCCCCTCCCTCATGAACCCTAGATAATTTATAAATTATTATTTTGTCATATCTTACACTGTCCGACGTCTCCCTTCACCCACTTTTCTGTTGACAAGAAGGACAATTTTCAAGACACTTTTCATTCTATTTCCAAAGATATGCACTCATTTCCAGACAAGGCTCAGGGTTTTGCCCTCTGGATAGGGCCCACCCGCAAACACTACTAGCCTCGAGGTGCCCTTCCGGGACCTCAGTGTGTGGTTTGGAGACAGGCATTTTTATGCACAACACACGGTGCTAAAGCCCCAGAGAGAGGCCCACTCCGGAGCACAGCGCCACCGCGGGGCGCTGACCATGGTGCTGTGCTCTGGCAAGCCGTCCTGCAGCGCGCGGTTCAACCCCTAATTCTCTTAAGAAGGGACTCGGCTAAATCTTCGGGCCAAATAGAAAGCGTCACATTCTGAATTTCATTCGCTTTACTCTGTAAGTGACGATAAGCATTTTATCTTCTATATCTGGATCTCCTTTGCTTCTGCCAGCAGTTGGTTGGTATAAAGACATTTTCCTTCCAGCATAGAGCCCTGGAGGTCAGAGGACTAGGAAGCGCCAGGAAAGAACTTCGTAAAGGGCAGTGTGTGCTAGCGTGGAAAGGTCCCTAAAGACTCCCCGGGAAGAAATATCTTTAGGAAGAAGAAGAGGACTTCAGCAAGACGTGGAGGAACAATGCCCCCGAAACAGAGAGGCACAAAACACAACTTTGATGGGCGAGCACAATATCGATTTCTTAAAAGAGCTTCACGTTTTCTAGTCAAGATTTCCAAGATCGGTGGTTCCTGAATAAAACGAACTTAAAGGCAATAAACAGAAATTCACATGCTGCGGGCCATATGTTTACTCCCTCTTTGATGGCCTATTGGAGTGTATCTCCAAGATAGTAAGATCGCCAAATACAGACACAGGTGATACACTAAGATTCTCATACAAACAAGTTTATGATTTCACACCCACTGAAAACCACGTACAAGGATTGCTCCACCCATGTTGGATTAACCCCCCCCCCCAGGAACCCAATTTTGGGTGATCACAATAGACATATATAGGCATATTTGATCAAACGACACACAGACACACATACAGAGGCTGAATAAACCATGTCACCAGAAGCCAGGGGAAAAAATGTCAGACTCAATGTAAATGTTAAAATATTCTTATGAGAAAATTTTTTAAATCAGAACTTCAAATAACACAATTTGGATTTAAGTAAGATATGTAAGGTCATGAATCCCTTCTTCTGCGATCATACTAGATGGCTTGTGATATTTTAGCACTGATCAAGTTTTCAATAGGACTTGATGGCATTTCGTCAAGCCCCGATTAATTTTTAAAGTGCATCTTTGACACTATTCTACTGAAAGTGCGAAAGTATGGATTAGACGATAAGCTGGAAAAGCAACAAATCAAAAAACGATCTTTCCCTTTCAAATACTTCTCTGAAGACAAGCAAGCATCAAGTGTTTGATCCGTGTACTGTCCCTGTCCTGCTCTTGCATTAGGCTGTGGTTATGGTGATTTAGTAAATCATGTTATTTCTGTCGGATCACTTAGGTTGTCTATGAATTGGATATTAGATTGAATTCCTGGGCAAGTGGAGGTGAGATTTCAAGCAGCATTATGAGTGTTTGTAGTAATAAATTCAAGAAGTCTCTGAGTTGGGTGGTATCGAAAAGTCATCTAAGATAAACTCTTTTTTTTCTTTCTGATTTATCTTTTTTTCTGGTTTTATTTGATTTATTAAAAAAATCATTTTATTAGGGGCTCATACAACTCTTATCACAATCCATACATACATCAATTGTGTAAAGCGCATTTGTACATTCATTGCCCTCAGCATTCTCAAAACATTTTCTCTCCACTTAAGCTCCTGGCATCAGCTCCTCATTTTTCCCCTCCCTCCCCGCCTACTCCTCCCTCATGAACCCTAGATAATTTATAACTTATCATTTTGTCATATCTTACACTGTCCGACGTCTCCCTTCACCCACTTTTCTGTTGTCCATCCCCCAGGGAGGAGGTTATATGTAGATCCTTGTAATCGGTTCCCCCTTTCCAACCCACCATTCCTCCACCCTCCCAGTATCAAAACTCTCATCACTGGTCCTGAAGAGAGCATCCATCTTGGATTTCCTGTGCTTCCAGTTCCTATCTGTAGCAGTGTACATCCTCTGGTCTAGCCAGATTTGTAAGGTAGAATTGGGATCATGATGGGGGGGAGGGGCTGAGAGGAAGCATTTAAGAACTAGAGGAAAGTTGTATGTTTCATCGTTGCTACACTGTAGCCTAACTGGATCGTTTCCTCCCTGCAACCCTTCCATAAGGGGATGTCCAATTGCCTACAGATGGGCTTTGGGTCTCCACTCTGCACTTCCCCTCATTCACAATGACATGATTTTTTTGTTCTTTGATGCCTGATACCTGATCCCTTCGACACCTCGTGATCGCAGAGGCTGGTGTGCTTCTTCCATGTGCTTTGTTGCTTCTGAGCTAGATGGCTGCTTGTTAATCTTCAAGCCTTTAAGACCCCAGATGCTATATCTTTTGATAGCTGGGCACCATCAGCTTTCTTTACCACATTTGCTTATGCACCCGTTTTGTCTTCAGCAACTGTATCAGGGAGGTGGGCACACAACAGTATGATTTTTTGTCCTTTGATGCCTCATAACTGATCCTTTCGGCACCTCGTGATCAAGCAGGCTGGTGTGTTTCTTCCATGTGGGCTGTGTTGCTTCTGAGCTAGATGGCCGCTTGTTTACCTTCAAGCCTTTAAGACCCCAGACGTTATATCTTTTGATAGCTGGGCACCAACAGCTTTCTTCACCACATTTGGATAAGCTCTTTCTTATGGTTTTATTTGGTGAAGCTGTGAGAGAATCGAAAGCAACAGAAAAACATCTCTTGGGGTATGCAGCATTGCAGGTGTGCTTCCTTCAACTCAGCAGCAGACCCTTCAGGATTGGTTGCCTAAGTGGAGTTATATCCTTCTTTAAAAAATACCCATTAAAATGGTCACTATCTTCTTTTCAGTAATTCTGCATGACTGATGTCCAAGGAGGAAGTGGGAAGATACAATATGTTAGGTTTAAACTTAAGGTCTGTGTTTGGCTGGGGACTGTGGAAGGGCCTGAGGCAGGTCCACCCACAGCTCAATCATTTCCACCTTTGGAAGTTAGAATCAACCCATAGACTTTCAGGAGTCCTCTGACTTGCATCTCCAGGCCAGCCCAGGTGTGGCAGAACCCACGAGAGGTTAATGAAATATTTTATTGCTTACCTACTAAGTGCAAAGACTACAGAGAAGGCTAGGAAATGACATTGTCTTGGAGTTTGCTGCCGTGGTCCCAGCAAGCACTCGTTGCTTTTCTGCCTCACTTCTATTATTACCAGGAAGCCTGTTGGAAGTAGCTGCTGGCTGGGAGGGAGACAGGGGCACACCCCGATCATTCTGATTCTGTGGATCCCAGGGCTGTTTCTCAGTCTGTACAACCACTGTTAGTCCTGGCTGCGGTGGGGTTTGCTGGCAGGGCTGAAGATGTTCCAGATAGTCATTCTTTTTTAAAAAATCATTTTATTGGGGACTTGTACAACTCTTATCACAATCCATGCATCCATCCATTGTGTCAAGCACATTTGTACATTTGTTGCCACAGTCATTCTCAGAACATTTTCTCTCTACTTGAGCCCTTGACATCAGCTCCTCATTTCCCCCCTCCCTCCTCACTCCCCTCCTCATAAACCCTCAGATATTAATTCTTATTGGGGGAAACATCCCCTCATCATGTTCCAGAAGGCATGCTTATGTCTCTGGGCCCGGAGGGCTGAGGGTGGGGGAAGTGGGCCTCGCACCTCGAATTGAATCAGCCCAGAGGATTGGAGAGAAAATGGTCAAGCGAGCATTCAGTGCAGCAGATCGGCTCTGTCCAATGCAGGGCGGTCTCGTACCTGGCCCCCTTCTGTCTCTCTCTCCCTGCCTGCCATTCTCATTTCCTTTCTGGACTGCATTTCTGGCCTTCTCCTTTGAAGGCACCCTTTTTAGCACTGTTGACATGGCACAGTCCGTTTGTTTGAGGCGTTACCAAAGAGCGGGGGCTCTGTGCCTCAACTTGGGCTCTTAAGGAAAAGGTGAGAAAGGGATCTTACTGAAGAAGTGCCGATGAGGCAGACATTCTCCACAGGCCCGATGCAACAAAGACACAAGAGGCCAACTCAAATAGATGCAAACGGTCCTTGTTGAACCCTGAGCTTCAGAGTCAAGGATAGGGAAATAGATCGGAAACTAGACTAGAGGAAGCTGAACCAATGTGGCCAGAGAGGAGAGGGACGGGTGGACGAATAGTTGGTTGGTGCAGTCATCTTAAACATTTGGTTGAGGTAACAGCCTGACAACATAAAACCACACCGGCGCCTGTCCAGGGGTGGCCTGGGACCCAGCACTTTGAGTCCTGCTGACCTGCTGAAGCAGAGAGCACAGAGATACAGGGATGGTGCACCTGGTCCACAAGCAAGCAGTTCTCTCCCAAGGTAGGTGGGATATCACAGGCCACTGGGTGGGTGAGTGTGGGGGCCGGCTGGTCATGCTTCTGATCACCAGGAGAGTGTGTGTGTATGTGTGTGTGTTGGGGGGGGGACAAAGGAGAGAGAGGAAAAATT